CACCAGGGAGGGTGCCCCGTCCCCGCATCCCCCCCATCCCCGCAAGCTTTGGGGTCCCCACAAGCTTTGGGGTCCCCACCCCTCTGGCCGCTCCCTGTTCAGGTCCCTCCTACTCTTGCAGGGCTACGAGCCGACCGTGTATTACCCCAAGCGCCCCAACAAGCCCCTCTTTGAAGGTTTGACCACCCAGTGCCAGAAGATGGACATCCCCTTCCTCCCCGAGTTCCCAAGCGAGGTGAGGAAGCGCCAGGCTTGGGAGCAGCCGCCCTTGGAGCCATGCCCGGGGTTGTTTTTCACCCGCTGCCTTCCCCGCCCCGCAGGCTGCGCTCATCGATGAGCTCTACGGCCTGGTGGTGGATGCGATTTTTGGGTTCAGCTTCAAGGGAGCGGTGCGGGAGCCCTTCGGCAGCATCCTCAGCACCCTGGAGCGCATCACGGTGCCCATCGCCAGCATCGACATCCCCTCGGGTGAGTAACGGCCGGACCCACCGCACGAAGGTGCCCAGCCGGGGTCTTCCCGGCTCCAGCCTGACCTTGGGGCTCGTTGCAGGCTGGGATGTGGAGAAGGGGAAGGCAGACGGGCTCCAGCCCGACATGCTCATCTCCCTGACGGCACCCAAGAAGGCAGCAATGCATTTCGCCGGCCGCTACCACTTCCTCGGGGGCAGGTTTGTGCCCGCCGCGCTCCAGAAGAAATACGCTTTAAACCTGCCACCGTACCCCGAGACAGACTGCGTCCTGCAGCTGACCTAGGGCTGGGGCTCGGCGTGCCGGGCTAAGGCTTCGGCACAGCAGATCAGGGCCTAATTCTGCCAAAGCTGCAGCTGTCTCCTAGGAGGATGCTCAGCACCTCACTGGGCTCCAGTCCTACCCAGTTCTGGCAGCGGGATCGAAGTTCACTGCAGACCAAAGCCCCCAGGACCGATGGGGGCGGCTGCCAGGCGGGCTCCGTTTGGGGTTGCTACCTAATCCGAGTGCTTCTAGGTGTAGACACGATCTGGGATCCCGGGGTCTGCCACGTATCTGGCACTCCAGGAGAGTTTCACTGCAATAAAGATATATTTATGCCCTTGAAAAAATATTTTAATACTCTGTGGGGTCTGTCCCCTTGTGTCCCTCTGCAACAGACCCACAGCAAATGGGTCCCTGCCCCAGGGCCCGGTGGGAACTGGGGTCCCCCCTGACGGGAGGAAGGTTCAGGGAGTAAAATAAAGCTTGATCCAGCTCCAGACCAACCAGTCCCAGCCCAGCGTCTCTGAGCTCCACCTGGGAAGAGCCCGGAGCACCCTTGGGCACCCATCAGCGCCAGCAGGCAGGATCGGGACCCTCACAGCCAGATGGTACCGGCAGCTGCACAGCACAGAAGCCTTGGTGCTTGCTCACTCTGGCTCCCTCTTCCTCTTCTTCTTCTTCCTGGGGCTGTGCCCAGGCCCGTCTTTATCTTCTTTATCCTTCTTCTTCTTCTTCTCTAACTCAACTGGCTCTTCTTTGTCCTCCTCCTGCTGCTGCTGCTTCTTCTTTTTCTTCCTCCTCTTTGCAGCATTCCCTTCCTCTCCCACCACCTCCTCCTCTTCTCCACTTGGCTCCTGGTTCTTCTTTTTCTTCTTCTTCCTCTTCATGACCTTGCTTTCCTCTCCCGCCTCCTCCTCTTCTCCGCTTGGCTCCTGGTTCTTCTTCTTCCTCTTCACTACCTTGCTTTCCTCTCCCACCACCTCCTCTTCTCCGCTTGGCTCCTGGCTCTGCAGCACCTCAGGATCAGCTCCATCCCTTGACTGTTTCCTTTTTTTCTTCTTCCTTTTTTCCTGCCTCCCTGCTGGGGGGCTGCTCTCCGGGGGCTCACGCTGCTGCTCCTTCTGTCGGTACGTGGCCAGGAAGGCTCGCTCCTGCTCCTCCAGGCGCGCCAGCTTGGCACTCATGGTCAGGCCGTGACGGGCACCCCTGCAACCGGGGAGCCGGGGTCCAGCACCTCCCTGGCAGGGAATGTGCCCCCCCAGCCCAGCCTGCTCAAAAGCCCCTGCCAGGAGGGGGGAACCCAACCGCATAGCCCCCACCGACCACTTACTTATGTGCCGTACGGCCGCCGCACGCTCGCATCAGCTCCTCATCCGTCAGCCTGCGGGATACAGACAGGACGCGTCACCCCTGGCATCAGCATCGGGGGGAGCGCGGTCCGGACCAGGGCACCCCCTTGCCACCCTTGTCCCTCCCCACTGCTGCATCGCGGGGGTGAGGCATGCACTGCTGCCCCAGCCTCGCCTCCTGGCCGAAGAGAGGTCCAGCTTCTCCTCCTCCTCGCTGCTTTCTGAGCCGGTGGGCAGCTTCGTGGGCTCCTCCCCGCATGCCGTGAGCGTGGCTGACTACAGCAGAGAGAGGCAGAGGGGCCGTGAGAAAGGGGAACAAGGAAAAGGGGGCTCTGGGGGCCCCAGCAGCGACGGGCTGGGGAGGCTGCGCTGCGAGGGGGGTGCAGAGCTCACAGCAGCCTTCACAGAGACACCGGCTGCTCCCTGAGCCACGTCCCCGGGGCCGGTTACCTTCACGAAGCGGCCGTACAGCATGCTGCCAGAGCTGCCGGCCTTGCGGGGCTTCTTATTGCTGATCCTGACTCCCTGCTCCGAAAGCGTCTTCACGGAGATGCCATTCTGGGGGGAGAGAGATGCAAGGGGCTCGGGAGTGTTTTGTCCCAGGGGCTTCACCCCCCCGAGCAGCACCTCTCTGCCACCACGGTCCCCGTGCAAGGTGCTGCGTGCTCTTAGATGGGGGGACATAGAGCAGCAG